AAATCCTCTCATCATTCCAAATCCTCTCATCATTTCATTTTGTTGTTCTGTTATTACTTCAATATTATCACATTCAATCTGGTTGATTGAATTTGATGTATCAATTATCTTCATATTATGACATCTTATCATTTTAACTTCTTTTCCTTTAACATCATCCTTAATATCAATTCCACTACATTCTTCCATTTCAACTTTCTTCAAAGATTGGTTTAACATAAATTGCATGTCATTTATTCTTTTCATTATAAGCTCTTCTTTACATTGGTGAATGATTTCGTTAACTCTAGTACTATTATTTAAAATTACTTTGTTACATGATACCCTTAAATTGAAAATAGGAAATTCAGAGTTTTCAATATGTAATGTGTCAATGTTTACATTATGAGAAAATGATCTTACTGAAATACACACTTTACTATCAATAACTTCTAATAACTTTTTATTTCCATAAATTTCAAAATCAATATTCTCACATTTATTAATTGATACTGATCTAGCACATCTAATTTTTGATCTATTATCTTGATTATTAAATAGAGTTTCTTTATTATTCTTACAATTAATGAATTGAATATTTCCATAGTGTTCATGTTCTCCTTCAAGTGTGATATTTTCACTATTTTCTATTGTAACATCACTATTAATATCACTTTTAATTTTAATATTACGATCATGAATATTTCTTATTATAATATGGGTTTTATCTGTTTCTATTTCTATATCTTTATTTGTATTATCCATTTCTATTATTTCTGTATCTTCTTTTATAACATTCTTTGTTTCTGGAATATTACATTCTTCATTATCTATTGTGATGATTTCTTCAATATTATCTAACTTCCCTGTGATTTCTGTGTTTTTACATTTTGTTATTTTCATTTCTTTGATTTGATTCTTGTTGATTATGAATTGACAATTCTCACATTCATCAATACATAATTTCTTACATTTATCAAATAATTCTTCAAAGATATAATCTTTCATTGATACAACATATATCTCCTCTGCTTCTTTCAGAGGTACTTTAATGTATTCTTCAATTAATTTAAATATAATTCTTTTTGGTTTAATATCAATTTCATTGATTGTAGATTCAACTACTTTCATTGTATTACATTTTTCATTTCCTGTAATATTCACTTCTTTAGATTCTGCTATTATTAATTTGTTAATTGGACATTTTGATTTTACATTAATCTGTTTTCCTTCTATTATTTCAATATTTTGTTCATTATTAGATTCTATTTCCAATGTGAAATTCTCACATTCTCTAATGCAAATATTATTTGATTTATTTGTTGATAATTTGATTTGTGCTTGAATATTTCCTTCTAATTTCAATTTTTCAATACAATCTGATTTTATATTAATTTTACATTCTCTACAACTAATTATTTCAATACTCTTTAATTTATTTAATACTAAACTAATATTTAAATTAGAACAACCTATTAATTGAAGTTCTTCAAGATTTGGGAATGTACTTATATTTTCTTGTATTTCTTTCCAATATCTTCTGTTGTTTGTTGTTGTAATGTCTTGTTCTTCGTTCATTTCATTTATCTTTAGTTTATTAACTCCATGTAGTTTTAACTGTTTTAAATTGTTTACAGAACGAAGTTCAATAGTAGAATTGCATGGATTTATTTCTAAACCTTCAATGTTTTGTTGATTAATTACAATATTTGAATTTGTTGAATGAACACAAAGGTATTTAATGTATTCAGGTAATTGTGATGGTTCAAATAATGTTAAACTTTGATTTTGACCAAAGCTTGGTTGACTATTTTCATTAATTGAAATAGAATCAACATAAAGATCATTAAGAATCTTATAAACATTCTTTCTATTCTCTTCATTAATAATATCTTCTAAATTCACTGTAACACTAGAAACATTATTATTTCTAAATGGATTAAATGACTCTAATTTTACATTTGAAAATAATGAGTCAACTGGTGATCTAACAAATTTAATATTTGTTTCATTATTTGGTTTCACCAAAAGAATACTTGAAGAATAAATTGTAATACCTTTTGGTATTTTTACTTCACTTTCTTGTTCAATGAGACCTCTTGTTTCACAAATGATAATAATGTTTTT